AAAATGGAATCAACTGTGGACTATGGTGCTGTGTTTTTGTGTCGGGTGCTGCTTCTGTCCTCTGCTCTCTGTGTCACACCGAGGGCGGGTTCGAGCAGCATATGGACGCTGTCCTGCAGATGGACCGTGGAAAGAAATTGTCAGTAGTCATGTAATAACCTATTAGAGGACAATTCACAATATAAGGCATGTATTGTGAATTGTCACTTATTAAATAGTATGATAGTATTTTAATATCCTACTGTTGTAATACTGTTATTGTGAATCATCCCCATAAATAATTGCACATACATTTGAAGATTTCTATATGAATATTTGCATGACACATCATATTCATTGATATTGATTATTTTTTACATTTTCTTATTGAACTGTGGAAATTGTATTCTTCCACCACATGATTACACACTCACTTAACTCGCAAAACACAGAATTCATAAAAATTTTAAGGGGAACCATGGAAAAAATTAAAAACAGATTTCATAGCGACCTCAAATCCATCTTAACTCAAAGCTGCTGCCAAAGGTTGCTCCACTGACTTGAAGAAGTGGATAGTTTCTCAAGGCTGCTTTGTGTTAAAAACCCGCAAACACTTTGGATTCACACAGGCCAACATCATCAACAGGTCGCGTCCCAGAAAGAGCTCTCTGGAATACAAGGGGAAAACAGCCCCAAAAAAACTTAGCTATGAAGTCGGAGGAATATATGTGAAATGCGAACACAGCAACACAAATTTGCAGCCAGATGGTTGTCGCTAGTTGGATGAGAGGGAGAGGATTAATTTATAGCTCACACAAGCCAGGAGGAGAGGTTTTTGCGTTATTAATCTTGTTCTTAAATCCATTACTAAAAATTCCATTTTAGTTTGTAATGCTTAGTCATGTTGTAACAGGTGTGGTAACACACCCATCTATTAAAGTTAACAGTGCTTCCAACTGTGAACCTCTTTGCAGGAAAAAAAATCCCCTTGAATTTTTTGGCAGAATACCTATTTCATCTTTTCTCACAAGGAAGTAAAATGAAAGAAGACAAAGGGTCTGGAAAAGATGGTGTGACTGTGGGATGTAATCTTTAGTCACCTAGTGAACAATGAAGTTGTGTCTAAAGTTCATACTGTCCTTGGGGTTTCTGCTCACCCACTTCTACTGATGCAATGCTGTAGTTGTTTCAGAGTATTTACACTTCCTCAAAAGTGCTTCCCAAACGTTGCCAGGCAGTGCACTTACTTTCTGTTTTGATGATCTGAAATGAACACAATATTCAAGTAAATTAAACTTTCTTTTGGTGTTACTTCTGACTGCAGAACAGTAGCCAGTAGCCACTTCTTATTTACTACTAGAGGGTGGATTTTCACTCCTGCACCTCAAAAAACACTCCTGTCCCATCCCATTCTCAGAAGACTGATGCACAGGATTCCCAGAAATAACATCAGCCTCGACTTACTACCACACATGGTTCAGTATTTTGATGTGTTCTGTCCCTGCTGTGCACTCTTTACTGCTTAAATTAGTGTCTTCAGGAAGGGTGGTTTCATGAAGAGAGCACATTCTATGCTTTCTTTTCCCGCTTGACATGGCATTACAGGCACCTTCGTCAGAGAAACTTCCCATACAGGCTCTAAGCGTTTCAGTGACCATGTGTAGCTACTTATGCACACTTCAATAGAACATCAAGCCAGCACTTAATGATTTCCAAACTGATATCCTGAGGGTTCGCTGGAGGAATGAAAAAAAAATGAATATTTGAGGCTTGACCACTTTGTGTTTGCTTTGTGTTTGACCACAAATATGCTACAGGAACACACTTTAGCCCTTTACCAGCCCATATCACACCGTTCTGTCATCCCTTAACGTGTCAAAAAAAGTTTCAGATTACGTCATCAACAAAATGTACAGACCACAGGTTAATGTACTGAACGTGAGATGGGGAACACAGAAGAGTTTCCTTTCCCTGCACAGTATGTGTGCACATGTGTGAATCCGTGTGTTTGTTTTGCCAATGCTTGCTCTTGCTATGTTAAAAGGACAGAGACACGGTGTTTAAAAGCTACTTAAAAAACTAGCATTCTGGAAAAGATTTTTGTAAAAGGGACGCTCTGCAACACCTTCAACTGGTTCAAAAACCATGACTGACTGCAAAAGGTAATGCAGATTGTCAACGCTGTAAACAGCAAGTTAGTAACTGTGAAATGTGTTGGCATGGATTGTCAGTTACCCATGATAAAGCCAGTTAGGCATGCTTCAAGAAATAAATGAATCAAGGCTCTGGGAAGCACAGGGTAAATACACGTTGGATTTTAACCTTAAACGCACCAATGTGTGGGATGTTTTCATTCTTGTGAGTTCAGACCTAGCCGCACATCTCTCTATGATCCGGTACTCTTAAGATTGTACTAACAATTATTGTGGCAAAAATGTGACATGGAAAAACAAGTAGCTCTCACTTTGATGTTGCCATTTGTTCCATTTTAAACTCATTTTTCTTCATCACAGCAGCTGACAGTGCAGTTCTTTGTATATGACCTGAATAAAACTTGCAGAACGTTACACATGGTCCTTGATGTAATTATAATGTACTTTCCCCATAACTGTGTATATGTCTGTAACTGATTATGTTCTTCCAGTAAAGACCTATAACAAACATGCTAAATCGCCCATAAGTGCTTTGACTTGGCCTACTGAATCAATACTGCCTACATATAATTGAAAACACTATGTAAAAATATCACGATCATATGTACTTTTATTTTGGAAACATAAAAACAACATCAAACCTTTTAACCACTGTAAAAACCTGTACCTTATTTACAGCAGGTGAAACCATAAATAGACATATTACTAGCAGTGCTACTAAGTATTGCTTTGCTGTGATAAAGTTGAGATAATCCAGTATCTACTCCCTCAGCCCAGCAATCCCCTTAACATGTCATACAGTCAATTTAAGAATCCATATTAGTGTTGTTGGTTGGGGATGACTAAAACATTGCTTCCCTTCTCAAAACCAGAAAACACAGCCTCCACTATGAAGTTTGAACTGGAAAATGATTTGACTGCTCTGAAGAGAATTAACTAACCTGGTTTGTAAAATGAATCATCTATAGGATAAGCATAATTTTATAAATCATTTGGCAGCACCATCGACAAAGTAAATATACTCTCAGTGACCACTTTATTTGTTATACCTAGCTAGACCCAAATGCAGTCTAATAGAAAAACCCTGCAATAATCTGACCTACAGGAAGGTTATGTTTAGCTTTGGTTTTAACTGTTTTAGAAAGGTGTTGATTTATGGATGAGAGAATCACCCTTTCTGCAACTTATTAACAAGCTCTAATAACAGCAATGCAATTCAACAGCACAAAAACTGCAGTCGCTGAATCAACAATTCAACACCAGTAGAGTAGGGCGATAAATGAGCCAGGCTTATATATTGACTAACATTGGCTTATCACAGAAATATCACTATCAGCAAGCTATACTGTATTTAACATTAGCAGTGGTGGACAGTAACTAAGTAAATTTACTTAATGACTGTACTTAAGTACAAGTACCACAAATTTGTGATTAAGTACAGTACTTGAGTACCCTGTTTGTACTTCTACTCCACTAGATTTCAGGGGGAAAAGTTTTACTTTTTACTGACTACATTTATCTGACAGCTTCAGTTACTAGTTCCTTTACAAATTACATTTTTTTCCACAAAAAAACACATGAAGTTTAAAAAATACGATGTGCTGTTATAAATTTAACTACCCAACAGTTTATACAAACAGCTGAAACCCCAACACTATTTTGATGAAATTCCGTTTTTCATGTAAACAAGCATAACCATACTCAACCTTCTACTTTCGATACTTCAGTATTTTTAAAAGCAGGTACTTTTGTACTTGACTTAAGTAGAAATTTAAATTGAAGATTTCTACTTTTAGTGAAGTAATATTTCACAAGGGTATCTGTACTTTTGCTCAAGTACAGGATTTTTTTTACTCTGTCCACCACTGAACAAGAGATTTCTGTACACAAATGCCATATAGATGTTTGAGGTCATTTCGAAAGCAGTGTCTCTATTACTTAGTTTGTCCTCCAGAGATAACTGACATATTTGTAAAGCGTCCTGATTAATCTTGGTCAGAATTCTTTCATTACCAAATTTAAAGGATCCTTATCACATATCATTGATTATGTTGGGTGGCTGTGGCTCAGAAGGTACAGCGGGTCAGCCACCAATCGTAAGTTTGGTGGTTTGATTCCCGGGCTCCACCAGTCTGCATGTCGAAGTTTTCTTGGGCAAGATACTGAACCCCAAATTACATGAGTGTTTGAATATGTGTGAAGGATAAGTTCCATCCTGATGAGCAGTTGGCACCTTGCATGGCAGTCCATGTCACTGCGGATAAGGTTAATGTGACATGTAGTGTAAAGCGCTTTGAGTGGTCGGCAGCCTTTCTAGAGGCAACAGACCATTTACCATGTTATGTGCTAATGTTAAATAAATAAATAATGGCATACTGTTTTTTAAACTCTCAAATATCGACTTCAGCATTGGCATCAAAAGTTCAATATCGACATGGCTTCATTATAGAATACCTTCATCGCATGAAGGTATTATAGGGAAATTGTCTATCTTAGCATCTGATAGGTGTACCTAATAACCGAGCAACATGTATAAATATACAACTAACGTTACAGTGAAATAACACACCTGTCCATGGCGGGGATTAATATTTCACCTCAGTTACAGGACCAATTCAGTTTATAAATCTTTGGTTTCTGTATTTTGTTCAACACGTTCATATTTATTGAACTGTTAACCACATAAACAAAAGTAAGTTGTGTATGACATACACAGACTAAACAAAACTTTTTTCAGCAGGTCTAGCACACAGACCAGCTGATTTAACGTTAGCCAGGGTTTATTGTACTTGCTAAGCTAGCTGTAACGTTAGGTTAACTGGCACAATGACCACTCGCACCATCCACACACACACACACAGAACTTACTGTGACTGTGGTCTTCTGGTGTGATGTGCCTGCTTGAGTTTTCCCCAAAATCCCCACAGGTGCGTCGGTCTGCTTTTGTTGTCCAACACAGACTCAACCTGGGTAACTAACGTTACAGCACGGGCTCTCTGCGTTAGCTAGCTGCCACGGACCTAACGGGTTAACAGTACCGTTAGCGCTGCTTCGTTATTTGCCCCGTCAACTGCCATTCCGACGCCTTCACATCTTTTCCCAAACTATTTGCATCTGACGCTTCACAGCGACCACTGGGTGACTTTCAGTGAGCTCATTATTTTTTGCTCCACATGACGCCTGAGTTTAGCTAAGGTGGAAGACGCAACTGTTAGCCTAAGTTACTGCCACCCTGACTCACCCGTGTCTCCTCTTATGAGCAGATGATAGAAGCTACACTGATGATGATGATGTGGTGTGGGCGGAGCAGGATGTCTCCAAACGATTAGCCTCCTTTCTGACCCATTACTTCTACGGGGTGTGCTCCTTCCGTGTTTGACACGGAAGAATTTTTTTTTTCTAAATACTGGAATCCCTTTTGAGTTCCCAGAGCTCCTGGAGAAAGGCAAAGCCCTGACCATATTAAACAGTGGTGGAAGGAAACTATATTTAACAAAGTAAAGCAGGTCTACTTAAGTATTTGACTTTCAGTTTGAGCTATTTTCTGGTAGTAGCCTCCACTACATGAAGGCTAACAGAGAAATACTGTACCTTTTATACCACCACATTTATTTGACAGTTACAGTTACTTACTAAAAGTACACCACCAGCAACAAAGCAGCATCACTTTCAGGAGCCATTCTGTGTAATAAGTAGGTTTATTTACTTTAAGTTGCTACATTTAGCTGATATTTCCAAAAAGTAAACTTTTTTGAAAACAGGACTGCAGTACTGGAGTATATTTTTATTGGTTCATTGCTACTTGTAGGCCTACTTAATTTAAGGATCTGAATACTACACCACTATTGCAATAAGCACAATACATGACAAAGACACAATTTGTATTAGTTAAATCATGAAAGTAGTAGTAGTAAGTAAAAAAACCCCAACAACATACATTTACCAACTGCGTTGACACAGCCTATAAATGCGAATAGAATATGTAAGTTTGTTGTCAAACCAAGCATCACCACATGGAGAATATTACATTATTCTCATTACATTACAATAAGTTATGTTCCCTTTTGTCGAAATGCACTCAAGTAGGCACACTTCAAAAAGTCACAGCATAAAGATTAGCTCCAGTACGTATAATATGCTAAAGTCATGTTTCACTGTTCAAAAATTATTCTGTACAGAAGTTCAAAAAGGAGTATTTTTTATGTTTTGATGTCTAGAAGCCTTGAGCAACAAGATCAGTTAAAACATACTTGCCATTAAAGCTCATTATTTTTCTTTTGAGTTTGAGAAACCCCAAATTGTAAATTGCTGCACACTGTAATATCTCCTTTCCTGTGACAGCCACTGGCAGAGACGGTGGTGTGATTATGGAATTGGAGCGACTGGCAGTCACATAATCTCATCACATGACTCATCTTTCTGGACTACAGGACCGTTAAAAACAGGTCTGTCTGTCTCAGGACGTTCACCCTCTCTTGTTCTTGTTGTATGCACTTCTGGACTAACTAATGTTATACATTATCTCATATTTGAATTGATAACACTGTAATTTGATGAATTGCTGAACACAGATAATATTGCTAATAAGGCTGACTGTAATCATTTGGAGCATTGCTCTTTTGGAAGGATTACTGTAACTGCAGTTTTTATAAACAGATGGATGTCTGGCTTACTGTCTGTCTTGGACATGGTCCCATTGCTTTTCACCTGTGAAAACCTAGTTGTTAAAAATAACAATTTTAAAACCCATATTCTCTGAAATAATGTCAAAGGTCAAAACAGCATGAGAGCTCTTTAAGTTAATCCTACTCATCTAACCACTGTTTGTCTTTAACCACTTTTAAATTAATTAATTAAATACGTTTTGTGTGCAGCCGATATGAGACAGGGTTGTTTGTGTGGGAGAAGCAACATTTAGAGTTATGCTTCAATCTTGGACAACATAAGAGCTCGAACCATGCTCAGTGAATTATTGTAGTTTAGGTTCACCTGCAATGTCTGTATCTCTTTAGTAGGTTCCTGTGTTCTGACCTCAGTCTTATCTCCATTAAATCTGCACTGGAATGCAAAACTTACTGTGCGCAGTAAAGAGGGCATTGAAGTATATTTCACAATTAACCCCAGCAATTGCATAATTTCAAGACATATAGGGGTGGTTTCCCAGACCGTGTTTAAAATAAGCCAAGACAGAGACGTCTCTAGGATTAAAAGGCAGGAGGGGCTTAGCCCCCAGGGTAGGTGTACATCACATCACATCTTTTGTAACTGTATTAGAACTATACTTGTGTCAACAACCAGTGAAGAAGCCAAGATGTTAACAAATAATATAACAATATTTCTCCTCTGTTGAACTAAAGTTAGTGTAATGTTACATGGGGTTTGGGAGCAAAAACTTTTGGGTGTGTCCTTGATTTGATACATGATTTTTTAAATATATATATCCTATATATATGATGTGAGATGTGAGGATTATTAAAACTATTTTATAAAAATCCTCATTGATTTCTTATTGCTTATTGCTTCTATGCTATGTTAAAGTTGCTCTACTAAACTGCATTTTTTTGTATTTTGTATACAATGACAATAGAGTCACTATCATCAATCCTGAAATCTGTTATATGGAGGGGGGGGGGGATTTGGCACTAGTACCACAGCTAGCTAACTCTGGTTGATTAATGTTAACATTACTGTTGCTAGCTAGCCTAGCAGAAATGTTAGATAACTCTGTTATAAGTGTCATAACAACATGGTGTAAGTCTAACTGTAATTCAATGCTGCAACAAAGACTACATGATGCCTTTAAAAGCATCAGGTGAACAAATGATGAACATTCATTTTAAAAGTGGATTTTGGGGGGACGTGTGTATATGAGCACAAAGACGCACCTGAGCAGCAGGTATGCTAAAATGCTTCCTTTACCTCGCTGTGTCGCTGCAGTGCAGCAGGCGCGAGCAGTAAAAATAAGGAATTGAGTTTAACTTATATGGACTCTAAATGAACCAAGTGGAATGGATTTGAAGGCTACATCTACATATTTATTTAATTTTTACAGCCAATGAATGCAGAAAGCTAAGTGGATCAGAATATAGAAATATAATAAATGTCATAAAATAATTTAGTTTAGGCTTTGCCAACAAATGCCTATTGTTTGAAGAAAAGAAAACAGCCTACATTTCCCTAGACCTGTACAGCACTACTGACCTCAGAATCAGCTGCCCTGCTTCTCTCTCTCTCTCTCTCCTGAAATATCTTCAATATCCATCCGGTCAATGAATGGAAGGATATACAATAGCGTTAACAGGGACACTATGACATTTAGTTTTCACTGACAACAACATTCTATGGGAAATGATATTCTTTTGAAATAGGCTACTAGATGCAATATTAATGGCGTTCACATTATCAACACTATTGTTTTCCATAGCCAACTAATATATCCAATCTCCTTTACCTCAAGTATACATAGCTAAAGTTCAGCAAGTAACAGTCACTAACAACAACTTTTTCAAATCTGTATCACTCACTACTTAAGCTTGATTTATACTCCTGCGAAGGGTCTACGTGCGTAGCTATGCATTTATACTTGTGCGTTGGTGTCTCCGTCATTCTGCAATTACACCCCCAAACGGTAGTCGGCGGTAGCGCTACAGCGTCCACTGTGTTGACTTTTGCAGGCTAACTTCCAGTTTGGCCCTCTGCTAACATGAATGGAGGTAAAATTATATATGTGCAGCTTGTATAACCTTTTCAGTTGTTATCGACCGAATGGATCACATTCTGATAGTGAAACGAGTCATTTCGCATTCCACACAGACTGATATATTTCAAGTGTTCATTCCTTTTAATTTTGATTATTATAACTGACAACTAATGAAAAACCCCAAAATCAGTATCTCAGAAAATTAGAATATTGTGAAAAGTTGTGGGTTCAAACCCGGCCTGTCTGTGTGTAGTTTGCATGTTCTCCCCGTGTCTGTGTGGGTTCTCTCCGGGTGCTCCAGCTTCCTCCCACCGTCCAAAGACATGCGGACTAGGTACCCCGCCTTTCGCCCGATGTCAGCTGGGATTGGCTCCAGCCCCCCGCGACCCTGTACGCAGGATAAGCAGTTGACGATGGATGGATGGTTCAATATTGAAGACACCTGGTGCCACACTCTAATCAGCAAGAACCACCACGCACAGACGTATGCAAGACATGGGTTTCAGCTGTCGCATTCCTTGTGTCAAGCCACTCTTGAACAAGACACAGCGTCAGAAGCGTCTCGCCTGGGCTAAAGACAAAAAGGACTGGACTGTTGCTGAGTGGTCCAAAGTTATGTTCTCTGATGAAAGTAAATTTTGCATTTCCTTTGGAAATTCCCAGAGTCTGGAGGAAGAGAGGAGAGGCACAGAATCCACGTTGCTTGAAGTCCAGAGTAAAGTTTCCACAGTCAGTGATGGTTTGGAGTGCCATGTCATCTGCTGGTGTTGGTCCACTGTGTTTTCTGGGGTCCAAGGTCAACAGGAAGTTTTAGAGCACTTCATGCTTCCTGCTGCTGACCAACTTTATGGAGATGCAGATTTAATTTTCCAACAGGACTTGGCACCTGCACACAGTGCCAAAGCTACCAGTACCTGGTTTAAGGACCATGGTATCCCTGTTCTTAACTGGCCAGCAAACTGGCCTGACCTTAACCCTATAGAAAATCTATGGTGTATTGTGAAGAGGAAGATGCGATACGCCAGACCCAACAATGCAGAAGAGCTGAAGGCCACTGTCAGAGCAACCTGGGCTCTCATAACACCTGAGCAGTGCCACAGACTGATCGTCTCCATGCCACGCCGCATTGCTGCAGTAATTCAGGCAAAAGGAGCCCCAACTAAGTATTGAGTGCTGTACATGCTCATACTTTTCATGTTCATACTTTTCAGTTGGCCAACATTTCTAAAAATCCTTTTTTTGTATTGGTCTAAAGTAATATTCTAATTTTCGGAGATACTGAATTTGGGATTTTCATTAGTTGTCAGTTTTAATCATCACAATTAAATGAAATAAACATTTGAAATATCTAAATGTCTGTGTGTAATGAATGAATATAATATCCAAGTTTCACTTTTTGAATGGAATTACTGAAAAATAAATCAACATTTTGATGATATTCTAATTATATGACCAGCACCTGTATCTTTCATTTTTTTCACGTCCGTTTGACTCAGTTTGAGTCAATTTGACAGCCTGAATACAACCTTTAAATGTATAATGCAACTGCAAAACTGTGTGCTTCTTTCTGAGATCGCTTTTTCCAACAAATTTGACAATATTTCTCCGGGAGTGCAGTAATAAACAGTGGAGGCGCTGATAGTTTGTTGGTCTTAGCAACAGTAACTAAGGGGGCGGGGCTTAGCGAAGGGTCAATTGTCAACTTGATTACCTTGATAGCTGTTATTATATATTTATAAATATATAATTATTATTATATTATATAATAATATTATATATTATAACCGTTATTACTGTTTGTGAAATAGATGGATTGACATTACAGTATTATATTCAATACAAGAATATAAAAATCAACCTCAGCAACCTTTGGAGAACGTACCAGATGATAAACATCTAGACAGTTCAGATGTTGGACCACACACACATACATTGGGTTTATTTTGCCTTTTCTTACTCTCCATTCAAACTTGTTTTTCTTTCTGTTTCTTTCATCTGATGTGAAACATTTCTCATTTCATGTGCATTTATTTGATAAACTGAGGACAAAACTGAAGAGTTGCAAGGTCATTTACCCTCCACATCCTCAAAAGCTATGGTGGCAGTGTCTGCCAGTACTGGTCACCAAAACAAGAGTCATAATCCACGATAAACCGACTCTTGAATTTCATATACATTCACATATAGTTAAAGTACCTAAGAAGGAGCATGAAATGAAAATGAAGATCTTACAAGCAGAACTGGAAATGAAGATGAAGGAGAGAGAGATGCAAATGTCTCAAATATCACAACAATGCATGAATCTGAAATAAAAATTGTTTTATTAAATCATGTTGGATGTTTTGGGTGTTTCTTTAATATATCAGACAAAAAAATACACTTTTACTTTTAAATAAATACATTGATTTGCTCATTACATGTAAAAATGTATCTGATCCCAACAGAACTATGAAAACGTAATTTCAAAAATAACTATTTAAAGTGACACAATGCAAAAGCATCTCTGTAGGCAAGTCCTTCTGTGTGGTCTGTTGTAAATGGTGGTACATCAGGATTGTCATCTTCTTGTATTTGGGGATGTGGGCATCCATGCTGATTCAGGTAGCAGGTAACAGCTGTTGAAATGATGACAGTGCAGCATCGAATTGGAATCGAAGTGTTTTCAGAAGGCACTGAAAAAAAGTCTTTTGAGCATACCCACTGTCACCAAGCATCATTCCCTTGTGATCTCAGAGAATACAGAGACGTGCAATGATGTTGAAAACGGTAACTAGGGAGTGCATAATGAGCACCTGCAGACAGACTGCTACAGGCTGTCCTCTTTGTTTAACAGATGAAAGACTGGGTTCCAAAAGTGAAATAAGCTCCATAGCATTTACTTTCTGCTTTCGAAAAGGTTCCGAAAACTAATTTCATCAAAACATTGCAATGGGTCACTTCTGTCAGCAAGAACTTGCCTAGCTGGTGATTTTCCTTGATCTTCATTGACGTACTCCAGGTAATCCATGTGTCTTCTTTAACAAACAGCATTAATCTGAAATTAAACCTGCCTCCTGGGTGGTTTAATTTAAGCCTCAATTTAGTCCTGAAGCATCTCTAATCTTCCTTCAGGAAATCAGCTTAGTTTATTCAGACTCTAGGCGAAGTCTAGGACTATTTTACAACATGACAGAGAAAGCAGATTTCTGTTAGTCTGTGGTAAAAGGCCTTTTCAGTCTAGGACTAGCTTTAATCTCTGCCTGGGACACTTCCCCATAGAGGAAAGGTTATGACTTTAGTTCTTCACATAAAATAAAATGGGAAAACGGGCTACCAAAAAGGCAGACAGAGAAACAATACAATGACAGCCCAAGAGAGCAGACAAGATGGTGGACGTCAACCACGATGGTCATCCGTATACAGGAAGTCACTTGAACAACAGCCTAATCAACATCAGGAAGTGAAGCCTTTGTAGCAGAATTAGAACCATTTTTTCGTTTTAATTTAGTTTCTTGTTAAGACTGTTGCTCAGCTCAACAGCAGTAATTTGTAGCTTTAGAAGCCCTGGGGTGACCAAGCCTATACTTTGATATAGTTTTTAGACAATTTAAAGAAAAATCTTGTTGATTTTTTTAACATGCTTATATACCAAACAAATAAAGATATACATAGACAGATAATTCAAATTATTGCATTGCAAACATAGTCAGCAGTTGAAAATGTGTTTAAAAAGTGTAAAAATTGGTCTCTGGTCAAAATTCAATATACAATTTCCCCCAGAGTAGGCACCACGTGTGCACTGTGCAAGTGAACGAGTTATTGTAGATCTAGTCTTGGCATTATCATTTGCACGTATTTCAGCTACTGAATTGCACATAAACTCCATTTGGGTAGGCTAAAACTCAGTATACAATATTTCTCAGGACCCCTTGGTGCCTTTGTAAAAAATCGGGTGAAATTAAGGCACTGAAGGAGTTAATTAGTTCATGTGCTCCTGCGCAACACACACACTGCTGTCTAAATTCAAGATCCTCAGCAGAAAGCTGGAGGAAGTCTGGATTACTGGTGCTTCACCGCTGAAAGATGCATCTCATCCTTTTGCATGTGTAGCCCATTTACGTTTTCATTTAATTGTGTTTAAACTGTCAGGGATCACACGAAAAGAGTCTCCTTGTTCTCTCAGAGCTACTTGTGGTTGTTGGTTTTCAACCAAGAAAAGCAGCTTTTCTCACCCGCTGGCTCCGTCATCACGGGATGAGCCTGCAGTGAAAGGTGGGGCCGAGTTCATCACGATCATGTGCATTCTCTCTCTTTGGTATTTTCCTGATTTACTGATTGATTTAGCTTAATTGCAGACCAAAACCATCTAATGATAATGATGAACAGATGTAGGAATTGTGATTTAGCTGTAAATCTGTGGGTGTAGGCCTCATGTCTGTAGTTTCCAGGAGTGTCAAAATCTTTATCATGTTTAAATTTCAAAAATGCACTAACAGTAGAAGACCCACAACCTGAACCCAACCATTAATGAAAAGTAATTATGGAATAATAAAGCTAATCTATACAGCTCGCAGCTTTTCTGCATTCACACTCTAACAAACTGTACCAAATATCCTTTTCACTTTAGACACACCAACATGTCAAGCTCTTCTGACACTCTACAGTTTTGCTTCCCCACCCACGGTGACTCCATCCTCAGCAAGATGAATGCTCTAAGAGAGGAACACCGCTTCTGTGATATCACACTCCTCCTTGCGGGTCCACAAGGCGCCACTGTCCAGCCTCTCTATTTCCACGGTCATAGAGTTGTGCTTGCAGCATCCTCTGATTTCCTACGTGACCAATTCCTGCTCCACGAAGGCCAGGCTGAGCTGAGAGTGGGTGTAGTTTGCAGTGTGGAGGTTGGGAAGAGACTTCTCCTGTCCTGCTACACCGGGTTGTTAGAGGTGCGATATAATCTACTATTTATCAGAACTCTTTACAGTAAAAACAGAGTGGAATATCCAGATTATAGCCATATCCACATATTGTTCTGTACTATGAATATAAAACCCCTGCAAAACAGAGTGTCAGAATGACAGGTTAAAAGAAAAACATCAAGAGATACAGTACCAAAACACAAATAAGGAACATATGACAACAGAAGAATGTTACGTAATATGAAAGTTAAAGATGACTGAGAAGACTTTACTCAAAGGTTGTAGTTCTGTTCTTGCTAGTGTGTTTAAAGTGTGCAAGAAGAAGAATTAATCTTTTACTGTTACTTTTTCCTTGGTTTCCATTATATATTTTTGCAGGTCCCTCTGAGAGAGCTGGTGAGCTACCTGACTGCAGCTAGTGGGCTCCAGATGAGTCAGGTGGTGGAGAAGTGTGCCCAGGCTGTCTCCCAGTACCTCAGTCCCACGCTGGCTTTCTTGAAACTGGAGAGACACACAGAGGAGAAGGAAATCCAGGAGCCAGAGAGCCTCACAAATAAGGAGGAAAGGGATGTAGCCCACCCCAGCATCCAGAAACCAAATACTGAGGAAGAGGGAGTGGTTGTTATTAAAGCAAGGGTCAGGCAAGGAGCCAAGGTGGATGGTCAAGAACTGAGGGAGGTCAGAGATGCTAGGAGGGTGGTTATAGCTAAGAAAGTGTTATCTGAAGATACAGCGTGCTGTCTCGATACTCTGGAGTCATATCAGGATAAGTGCATTACAGGTGCCCTAAGATGTAAGCTGTGCCCTCCTACAGCTGTCAGAGATCATGTATTCTCCACACCCAGAGGAAGTTCTGCTCAACATGAAAAATTGCTGGACAGTTCCCACAACCAAGATAAAGAACCAGGGGAAGAGCAAAGTGAGGAGGAAGAAATGTTATTGCTGGCAGATCAACTGCAAGAATGTGGAGAGCTGATGGACTCAAATCTGTTTTGTCTCTCTGGAGCACATCTGCCAAAGAGTCAGTGTTCTGGAAATGAGCTGACAGAAGATTCAGACAGCATATTGGTCCAGAGGCCATACCTCTGCAGGAGGTGTGACAGAGTCTTCCAGCACCTAGAGAGCTATGTGGGCCACCTGAAGGAGCACAGACAGTACTTGTGTTTGGTCTGTGGGAAAGGCTTTTCCCAAAAGAGTAACCTGACCCGCCACATCCGCGTCCACACTGGTGTCAAGCCTTTTCGATGCCCGCTGTGCCACAAGACATTTTCCCAGAAGGCCACGCTGCAAGACCACCTCAATCTGCACACAGGGTATATGCCCCATAAGTGCAACTACTGTGCTGTAAACTTTGCACACAAGCCAAGTCTCAGGCGCCACCTGAAGGACATTCAAGGTAAGAGTAGCCTGCAAAATGTGCTTGAGGAGTCTGTTGACTGAGGATAAAGAAGTTAATGCAGTTGGTCTTAATAGTTTGTTTCGATATTATTTTTGGCGCACGTCAAATATGTTGTCAGAAAGCTCAATAAGCTATGTGACACACATTACCGTGATTTGGAGGGTTATAAAGATGAGGCATTTCTATAAAGACAAATGTGTTACATTGATTTTTTTTATCTCATTTTTTTATCTCAATTTCTGCTACAACAGTGTCTGCCATCACACTGAGAATCACTGAGGTCATGCATTCAGTGGATACAAGACACTATTAAGTCCTGTACAAACGTAATGTACAAATGTTCTTACGGTATATGATCTGCCAAGTATAATAGTGAATGCAATCTCATATATGGTTGACTTTGGCATTGTTTCCAATATCTTTGAGAGTGCTCTTGCATTTTAAGAGTGTGTACAGCCAACTACCATGAATGTGTGCCTCTGTTACCTCTACAGCCAAAGATCATTCTGCTTTACCATGAAGATAAGCTATATGTAACTATGTAAACTATAAGAGAGAAAACATTGTAAGTCAGTGAACATGTGAACATTGGTGTAATCACTGCATCAAATTCTGGAGAAAACCTTGTTACTTGAAAAAAGAAATAAAACTCCTTTTTATTTTTAAAAGACTATTTCTTGGCTTGTTTGTTTAATCTTTGGACAAACTGAACACTGTAAGATAGTTCAATTCAATACAGGCAGTGTGCCTGTATAAAAATGAGGCTAGGGTTCACAGACAACCATTGCTTCACAATTTGACTAGGCTGAAATTTTGTGTGGTTCGCTGAGCTTTACATTACAAAGGAGTGGGTTTTCCCGCGTGGCTGAAAGGGTTTCCATGCTCTCTCACTCCATTATTTCCCTTCACATCCCTCCTTCTCTCCTTCTTTTATCCTCTCGTCCCAGAAATGTTATAAGACAAAATACTGAATTTGACATGGTCCATGCGCACATACAGTAGGCATTTGGGTCACCTCCATTATGAATGAGAGACAGAGAGGTATAAAATATGAGGAGGATGAAGGAGTAGTGGTAGATACAGAGACAGGGATTAATAGTGGTAAAACTGATTAGTATATTGAGAAAATGTCATTTTCTTTGGTCTTATGGAAATTAAAACATTTACGTATCCACTTATGATGAGCTGCAAGGAAGGAGCATGAAGATGAAAAAGCAGCACCTGCCCCGCCCTCATAACCACCGCTGAAATTCTCTTGAGCAGTGCCCACAACCCCCAACTGCTCCAGATGAGCTGAGTAGAGCCTGTACAGCAGGTAACAGATCAGACTGCAGTTGTACAGGTGTGAATATGTTTAACTGTGTGAGTGTCGCGCAGCTTTTTCCTGAATAAAAATGGCATTGCTCCTACCAGAACTATCCTTAATAAATAAAGCTTAAAATATTACAATGAAATGTACTTTTGTATAATATTTCTCTCAAGCTAAAAAGCACAATCATCTTTCATTCAACCAACTGCGTGAAATACGAAAATCATCTATTCAGCTCAGCCAAGGAAGCAAATAAGCTAAGAGTCTACAGCCATCATCTCTGTGAGGCTGTATTGGGCACAGTGGTGCGAGCTAAATGCTAACTTAAATTCAGCATGCTAAATAGTTCACAATGACAATGCTAATGCTGGTGTTTAGCAGGTGTAATGTTTACCATGCTAACATTTGCTAATTAACAAAAAAACACAAGTATCACAGTATCAGATCAACAAAGAAATTGACCTGGTGGTTTTCTGACAAGATTACAATTTGTCCTTTTTAAATTGCTGTATATGGCAATCCACACTATCACATCACTGTACCTGTGCAGTGTCTTTGCTCTTCTTGCTGAAGTTCTGTATGAATTCCACTAGTCCATGAACCAGTAACCTCACAGCCAGCATCACCCTTTCCAGCTCCTCCCATGATGGCCCCAGGGCATCTGCACACAGATCAGCAATACAGTCTGTTTAATAGAGATGCTTACCACTGTATAAGGTCTCAAAAAGGCTCAGGTATCGGTAAGCCTGAGAATTTAGCATGTATCAGAGAGCATTTAGATTAGACATCCTGATGCCATTAAGTCAGGGCAAGACCCTCTAGCTGACTTTTGGACGAGGGACACATGCACTTCCATCATTATCTCTGTTATACAGTAAGTATGCTAACTAAAAAGGACACCAAAGTGAATACCTTTGATGGAGTTCCCTGTGTGAATAAAGGATAAAATAACAAGAGTGCTAGCGGCTCTGTAAGGGCGTACTTAGGCACAGCCAGTGCTTTGAGCTAAACACTGCATCTCTCATGTTAACATGCTCACACTGACAGTGCTAATGTGTTGATGTTTATCGGGTAATGTTTACTATGTTTACTATCTTAGTTTAGTGTGTTAGCATGCTAACATGTACTAATTAACAAAAAAGTATAGCTGAGGCTGATGGGAATGTCGTTGGTTTTGCAGGTATTCAGTATTGTAAAATGTTGACCTGAACTAGATTACAAGTCATCCTTGGAATGGAATGAATCCATCCAACAGTTGTTAAAGCATTTTCACTAAAACCAAGCAACATGTGCGCAGACAGTGGTTGGACAGTACTTTGTGTAGGATCATTTCTATGAGACACAATTACACGGAGGTGCTAATAAAAAAATTAAACTTTAACTAACTGTTGAGACAACGAGCAGCCATCTTGGATCACGAGGTCGGAGGTAGTGCGGTTCTCCTGACTTTCTGAGTTGGAAATCCAACTTAAGGGGGTGTTCCAGTTGAAATTTCCGATTGAAATTCCACCTTCCCGGTACAACTGAAACGCACCATTTTATTCTTTGTTTCCTGTTTTTACTTTTGTGTTTTCCTATTCTCTATTTTCTGGTCACTTCCCTTCCTGCTCTTGTTTTGTCTTTGTGATTTTGTTGAGTGTCCTACCTGTCTTAGTGTGTGTCTGTTTGTATTTGTGGATTTATTGGACTTTGGATTATAGTCTGTGCCACTTGGATTTGGTTGCTTTAGACTGCTTCCCTGCTACCTGTTAATTTTGTTGTTTCTCAATAAATATTATACTGCATCTGATCTGCTTGTGTGTTCTGTAATTGGGTTACCAGCCTGCTGCCAACCAGGCCACTAGCCACCAGTCATTGCACTAGCCTATTAGCAACTCACCTGCACTTAGTTCAGTTTCCTGCCGGATCCTGCCCTGGAGCCACCTTCCGTGAAGCACTCCAGAAGGAAGCGGGGCTCTCACCGATCCCATGCCTCTCCAAACCTCAGCGCCCTAGAGTCTCCGTGCTCTGCTCCACGTCCACGCTGCTGCCCAGCTCCAGCTGCTCAGTGCCCCAGAGACTGAGCTGTTCAGCTTCCCGGAGATTCAGCTGATCAGCACTCCAGAAGACAGACTGATCAGAGCCCCAGAGACTTTGTTGGCCAACTCTACCTAGATTCAGCTGTCCAGCATTCCAGAGACTTTCAGAGACAACCCTCCAGATATTGTGCTGACTAGCACCCCAGAGACTCAATGGATCAGTACCACAGAGGTACCACCTGTCCTGCCTGGTTCTTCTCCTGGACTCTTGCTCCCAGTGTCCAGTCGGCAGCCCGGCAGCCAACACCTGTTCCTGGTTCTTCACCGACTGCTGCTAAGCTGCAGCAACATCCCCTACTGTACTGCTGCAACTTGCTGTGACTGTTGAGGAACTGCTACTTCCTATCCCTGCTGAGCTGTAGCAACATCCTATTCCTGCTGAAATACAGCAGTCCCCAGTCATATAACTGCAGGTACCCCTGACTTTGCTGAGCTAAAGCAACTCCCTGTCACTGCTGACCTGCACCAATTCCCTGCACCTGACTTGCTTATGATTTTGGCTTCTCTGCTGCAGAAATCCCCTGAGTCAGAACTGTAGTCACCCCTGCTGAGATGCAGCAATGTCCTTTCGATACTGAGCTGTAGCATTCCCTAGAGCTAGAATGCTAGACCCATGTCCCAGAGCTACTGCAGCCTCTTGTTTCCCTGGCTCCACAAGCTCTTCCTCATAGCTGTCGACTTTCTGTCCTGAGTCTGGTCCTGCACACCAGCCATCAGACTCTGGTCCAGGTCTTAAGTCATGTCACTGGCCTCCAGAGGGGTTTCACCTTCGCCGCAGGTCTCCAGAGGGTTTCTGCCTCCGCCAGCCGCCAGGTGCTTTCTGCCTCCGCTGCCACACTCCAGTGGATTTCCGCCTGTGCCTCTGGCCTCCAGGGGATTTCCACCTCCAACACCGGCCTGCAGTAAGTTTTCTTTGCTGCCAGCCTCTTGGTTGCAGAAACATTAATTTGTGCTTTTTAATCGCAGGATAACATTAGATCGTGCTGACATGCTGAACACTGACTGGTCACTTTATTACCTCAGATAATGCAGTTAATTCCAAACAGTGAGACCTTAAGGTTTAAGTACTTTTTTATTTACAGTAATGCTATGCAGACACATCACTTGTTACCACGGAAACATGTGCCTGTTGACATTTTCACCAACTAAAGTAACTTTAAACTCTTAAAGTAACAACCTGCTGCATGTACAAATGGCTTGCTACAACAGTGATGATCAGAGGGAGTGCTGACCAGGACGATCCTTCTATATCGTCAGTCTCCCCCTGTCTTGCTGCCGGAATAATGCACCATGTCATATTGGGCTCATTAAGGTTGTCTCTGGTCACAACAATAAGGTTGTGGATATGATACAAGAAGTTTGAATTCTGCATATAGGAAGCATACTACATACAGCTAAAAAAAATATTTAGCGCTCCAATATGTATCATAGGTAAACTGGAAACACATTATTTCCTCATAATGACCAAGCACATCTCTCCTGTAGTTACACCATGTCACTGAGGAGAACATTAGGTTGACACAATTATTAACACTGGGGGTAAAGCTCACATGGGCAATGAGCCTGTTAAATACAATTGAGATGCCACACTAAGTCTATTGTAATGTACAGGATGAAGCTATCCAGCTAATAGGATTTACCTCAGGAGGTTACATTCATTAACAAAATGGATACTGGATTTTATTTCACATAAAAAGACATGTGAATTTATTCCCTAGGCTACTGACTTTAGTTAATGTATACAAATACTAATAGTGATAACTGGAGTATTTAAGTTAATTCAAAATAATGTCAAATACAGGTAGCCTATTTATTTATGTTATGAGAATGGTAACCACAATAAATACTGGGGAAGGCAAACTGAGTTTAGGTATGTTTTTCCTTCCGCTAGTCCGCTTCCCTAAACGCAGGGCTGCAATAAAACGAGCGGGAACTGTGTGTTTGTTTGTGTGTGAACTTCCTCTAGACAGGCGCACTTGCCAAAGCGTATCCTCTGCTGCTGTGCATCTCGGTCTGTTCCTTTAAAACCAGGCAGCCCACGCCTCGAAAAGCGGCTTTTTCCGGCTTGCCCCTTTACATCTTTTTATCCTTGCTCACAACATTAAAAATAGTGCCCCACACCGCTCCACCGACAATTACGCACATGAATTTTTGAGGAACCGTCGGAGGGTTATCAAAACCCCGTTTCGGGCAGAGTATGCGTGATGCGTAGCGGTGCTGCAGCTCTCTGCCTGTGCAGCCCGGCGGTGAGGCTGAGGCGCAGTTCAGGAACCATCAGCAGCGGAGCGATACCACCATCTCCTCTCAGCCCCGGTTTGTCAAACCGAGAGCGTGCGGCTCACTGTACCTGAGCTAACGTGCCGTCATATGGGGGGGTGGGGGGCAGAGGAGCAGAACTGGACCAAGGGACCTGTCTCTAATGCCCTGAAATGCTGTGCCATGTCGCTCTCGCATTAAGAGTTATCTCCCTGGGCTGGCTGCTGCTGTTCTTTTGCAACTGATGAGGATTTTATTATTAGCCCATTTTTTTGATGCGCTTCTGTGGATGTCTGTGAAAATGTTTGTTCTGGTGCTGTGGTGTAGTGCGTGAGGTAAGTGACTTATCCAGAGGTGCGCGCTACTTTTCTCCTGCTCCTCAGATCGAGGTTTTGCTTGATGTGTGAAAAGCCTTTTGATATTTTCATCCCAGATTAGGACTTCTAGCTTTTATTTTCCTCATCTGAAAACGAGGGATCGTTTAGAGATTTCAGAAATTAGATCTGGAACTATTCGGCTACCAGCCCATCATCAATTTCTGCAACTGGTGCTGACGGAATATTTTAAGAAGGCAGCTTGTATTGAAATTATTGGCCCACAGCTCACAGGCAGTTAAGAATGCAAAACTGGGTTTTCTAGAAAGAGTTGAGGCAGTCATTGCATGGTGTAAAGCAACATGAAAGTGTAGACAGGCTGTGCTGCTGCAATTGTGGAGACGTGACCTCCCAACGACGATGAGAAGAATTTGCACAAATGTGGTATTTATAGTGGAGCATCACTTTTGCTCTGAAAGTGACTCCCTAGCCACAGCAGTTTCCAAGTTCATGTGTTGCATAGTGTTTACCATAGCCTTCAGTCTGAAATGCAGCACTATCATCATACAGTGGGCAAGCCTGCCATGTTGTAGGTTACTCTATAACATGCTGATTTGCAACTGGAACCTGATATTCTGACAATATTATCTGAGTCTGCTGTAAACTGAATGTTCACTAAGATTGCATAACTCTTGGTTGCTTCTGTTACTGCAGACACTATAATAATGTCCATCCATACTAGCAAGTGAGCTGTATGTTTGCCATGTCTCTCATCCAGAAACTACCCCCACACACTGTGATGACAGGCATAATGAATAAATAATCATACAGACCCACATACCCCCAGTGTACACTCAAAAACAAGTGAGCAGACATGGTGAAACAGCTGTAGTAACCTTGCAATAAATCATGGCTTGAAACATTTTCAGATATCACAGGAAAACTAGCTGCTTTAGCACCATGATAGCCTTGTGTTGCCATACAAAATGTGATTTTATGTCATTTTTGCAAGTGCATTAGTGCTTTCTTTCTTATATCCCAGAGCATGTATACTGGAGTGTGTGCGCCTGTTGAGTCTCTCAAAAGATTAACGCACATCATAAGTTCTCAGTGTTAAAGTTTAACTGTCTCTTCGTCTTTTGCTTGCTTGCTGTGGTTACACGTATTGTTTTCACTTTACAGCCTCCTTAACCAGTGAAATTTAATGTTTAGAGTTTAAACAAAATCTAATTTAATTTCACTTAATTGTCAACAGAAATGTATTTTAGGACAAAGAGTGAAGTGTTTCACTCAGGCTCAATTGAAATTCCTCTTAGCTTGCTTGACTTTTAAACAGGTTTTGTTCCCAGAAGGCTGAGTTGAAGGCTCTACAGTTGAGTTTATGTTAAAATTCTGGTTGTAGTTAATGTTGTAGAGGGGACTGCGTGGGACACGTGAGACATGTTTGGGGAGGAATTTAAAATGGTGTTAACACATTTGCAAAGGTGAAGAAAAGTGAGTCACGATAACTATTTGAACTTTTTTTTAAATAGCAAAACAGGCTCATTAAAACAGTGTGGCTGAGCTCATATTGCACATATTTCTCAAAATGAGTAAATTGCTGTAGGGATTACAGTAAAGTGTCCTAACTGACAGAATGAGACTTAGTCATAAATGTGTTCATTGTTTGTGCTGATTTACTTTTTTAATAACTCGTAATTTCAGAAATCTGTGTCTCTGGTGAATACACCAACCTGGGTTTACTGATACAGTGACATCAAAAACAGTTATGTGCATATTCTTGCTCTCTCTCTCTCTCTCTCTCTCTCACACGCTCGCACACACACACTATATGGGATGTTCTAATTCTGGGATCACAGTGAGAAGGAGCCTCATATTACTTCAGATTCCTGTGCTTCAGGTCAGACTAGTGCTTCGTGTGTGTGTAATAATCCATTTATTATGTCTTTTAGTGTGCATGTATGTTTGTGCATGTGTAGCAGGAAAATGTTGTCCCTTACTGCTGCCACTGGTTGTTGCGGATCTATAAACTTTTGGATTATTTTTTTGCCTTTATTTGATAGTTGAGACGGAGAGGGGGGGCGGGATGACATACAACACATATCCTCGTGTCAGATGTGTCTCAGGGACACTCGGGGCTGTTACATGGTGTGCATCTTAGATCACTAGGCTGTGTCAAGGCTCCCCAAACTTACAGCTGTCAGAACACATCATAACAGCTTAGTAAGTTTCTAATTTTGCACGAACTGAGTACTGTTTGGCTTAAAATGGGCTCAAAATCCAACTGCTCTGCTTTCCACATAACAAAAAGCCATTAGTCACCTTCTTTATACACTATACATACATACACATAT